TGTCAGGTGTGTGTGTGTGTGTGTGTGTGTGTGTGTGTGTGTGTGTGTGTGTGTGTGTGTGTGTGTCACAGAGGGAGATGACAACCAAGGGCCAGGCCAAGGACCTTAGAACAAATGCACACACACCTCTGCTAACTATCAAAAGAGCAGGTGTGAAACCAACAAATACTTTTTTTAAAATCTGGCCAAGATTCAATAAAAATCGTTTACAGAGCAGCAGCTGGGATCTGAGAGAGTTGGCTCTGCATGGAGACACACATCCTTCGCTCACAAGTGTGCACCATGATTCTGATTCTAGGCTTTCTTTTCTGTAACATGAGAGTCACAGAGAATCCTCACTCACACACATGAACATAGCACACACATAAATACACAAATTCAGATACAACCAAATACACATACAAATACACAAATATGCAAACACAATACCCAATACAATACAAATACACAAACACAATATGTACACACATACAAATATACACATTAATACACACACAAATATACAAACGCAATACTCACACAAACACAATATACACACAAACACACACACTAATAAATACACACATACGCAAAGTTTATAAACACAATACACATATACACAAAGTACTTTTTAAAGGCTCCTTAAAGATATGCTGGGATAGGGGATCATAAATTGACAGGCTTTGTAGAATGCACTTTGATGCTGTGTGTTAATTTTTAATGCTTTTTATATTTATTTATTTATTTATTTTGCATGTGTGGAGACCAAAGGATAACTTTTGAGAACTAATTTTCTCCCTTCAATCATGTGAGTCCCCAGATCAAACCCAGGTCCTCAGCCTTGGCAGCAAGCTCCTGTACCTGCTGAGCCCTCTTACAGGCCCCCAGTCAGGCAGTTTTAAAAGCCATTTCTCAAGTAAGTATGTGTTCCAAGACAGCAATGAAAACTCAAGAAAGAAGTCCCACTCTCATCCCTGCTAGTCCTCCAGTGCTGGCACCGAGCCATGTGAACGGCAAATATATGTTAAATGAATATCCAAAGATTTCCATAGGGAGATGTTCATGACATTGGTGAGTGAAACCTCTCAAGGGGTGTTATAAATTACAGCAGTTGATGTGTTGAAATATTATGCAGCAATAATATTTAATAAAAGTGGCATCCCATGAAACCAACAACTAGGATGTGGGGTTATATATAGGGTGCCATTCAAAATTCATGAACGCATCAACCGAAGGAAAGAAAACCGCTGCCCATCATGAGTGTTCATGCCAAGCCATCAGCAGCGGGCAATGTCTTTCTGCTCCCTCCCCTGCACCCTCTCCCTCTGCGCAATACTTTTCTAATTAGAAGAGAGTGTTATTTAAACATATATGGGGCTCCTTGTGGTTGTTACAAAAACAATTAGTAATCAACAACCAACAAAGAGATCCTTCAGAGAGGGACAGAAGGAGGATGAGAGTGTTTGGTGCTTCAGAGACTAAAGGGTGAACACCAGGCTCAAGTGTGTGCATAGATCAGGGTGTGAGCAGTGTTGGAGAGATTGTGAGTTGGCCAGTGAGGCAGAGAAGAGCGAGCCATCCCTCAGAAGGGCTCCTTGAGTAATCTGCTGCACGCTGACCTGACTGCACACCCCAGGAGCTCTGGAACCTCCTTTTAATTCCAATGTGCCTGGTGCTTATCCTCGGTTATTTTTTCTATTTAAAATACATTAGTATAGATGAAGGAATTGGCTTATATTTGTGTACCAAGTTCTGTATTATTTTGTGCATTTATATCTGGCATCCAGAGCCCATCCCCGCCCGCCTTCATGATTTAGCAGGGTTAATTCTCACAGACATATATTAGCAGAGAGATGGGGACCAGGCTGCATATTAATGTGACAATTTTCCTTCCATCTACTCAATAGTCCTGAAGAAGGCCTGCTGACCTTGCCCCAGCTACAGCTCTGGGAAGGGTTTTATCCATTACCATGGGGCTTGATAATTCTCAAATCAGATTGAATCCTGTAAGATCATGGGACAGCCTGCAACCAATGACTGATTTTCCCATTAGCTGTTGTGAACAGTGAGATTGAATCAGGGCCGCCACAGATGGCTCTCGGAGACATGTGGGCTCACTCACAGTATTTACCCAGATCCAGGCCTTGGATTAGGAGAGGGGTGGGGCTTCTGCAAGAAGTCTAGGCCCTTGAGGATCCCTCTCTGTAGGCAGTTCCCCTGAGTGGGAGGAGCCTGCATTCCCTGCACACCTCCCCCCATACGCTCTCCCCTGCACTCCCTTTCCCTAGATTCCCTCCCCCACACTCTGTCCTGGGGGGGGGGAACCTCCTGCCTTACACACCCACCCCCTGCATACCCTCCACACTCACTCAAGTGCACCTCATGGAGTTTGCTTATGTCCAACCAGCCAGAAACGTGTCCTCATGGAGGTGACTTAGCTTCTGATCATTTTCTGCCTTCCATTTGGTTGTTCTCCATGACCCAGGGAAGAGAACAGCCACAGGCTTGCACCTCATGGCTGCTGCACATCCATCAATATTGCCCAACAGTCCAAGCCAGAGACAATAGTTCACTCCCTTGGCCACAGTCACTAGATCAAAAGGTGCCCATGCAACCACATCAGGATTAGAGACTCAGGTACTCTGGAGGCTTTGCCCAGCATTGTCCCCTGACTGCGTCAGGAATAATGAGGACTGGAGTCTAACAAAGCCTGGCTTCCATGGTGTCAGCATGACCTCAGGTGCAGCTTTCCTCCCTGGGCCCTTGCCTCTGAAAGGCCGCTCTCTCCATGAGCATGCTCAGGTGCTGTGTTCCTGAGCGGAGGGGAGGCTGAGGGGTGCCTCCGCTGCCTCGCCTGGTGTTGCACACAGAGGACCATCAGGCAGTGAGAGGACAGCGGAGCTGAGGAATGGAAAGAGTGCAGGCTGAAGAGAGCCAGGCTCTCCTGAAGCCAGGCCCTCTGGGCATCAACCAAGAACAAGCCTCAGTTTGCCTCCCCTGACCAAGCCAGCTCTGCCTGGGTGTTCTTTGTTCCGAATGAGCTCTGACCACCATAAAACAATGCACAACCTTTCAAAAGCCAGAAATGTTTTCGTTTCGAGTGATTAAATTGCTTTTAGCTCCTTGAGAGAGAATCTTGTTTGAAGAATTTCGGAGAGGGGAGCGTGGAGTTGAATTTCTTTTGGATTCAAGGCCCCAACTCCAATGAGAATCAACGGAATGTTATGCAGCCGATCGGCTGGAGCCCTTTTTCTCTTTCTGGAATATATTGTCCTGTTAACGCAAGAACTATTTGTGTTTGCTGCAAGTGGGATTTTCGATTAGTCTTTTGACATCCAGATCACTCATGGCTTTTTATTATGCTCTGGATTTAGAAAGAACTATGCTCCTGACAGCAACTGGATTTGAATTCTTCTGCTTAGGTTAATAGCAAATAAAAGCAGAGACCAGTGCGTGGATCCAGACCAGCAAGCTCTGGCTTGTTGAGGGGGAGGCTGCTATTTAAGAGGCTGATTTCTTCCTCTAGTGCTATGCTCAGAATCCATACAACTGGATGCTGTCAGCTTTT